ATTTAATGATTTCCTTAATGTTCATTTCTGGACTTGTGAGTACTCCTGGAACTTTTCATCAATTTTATTTGTGCGATTGTTTCTGCCTGATGAACCGATTTGATATCCTAGACCCAACTATTCCCTTGTTCAAGACCTTGGAATCTCGTAAATTCCAACATTGCCTTTACTTTAATGCCAGCTAACGATCGTCCCTGGAGAGACAGCCTTGGCCTTCTATACAGCAAAAAATCCAACGTCGAAGCCAATAGTTGGTATTGCAACCTATACAGTATTGCCGGTAGAGGCAGCAAAGTATTTCAACAAAATACAGGTAAGATGGCGACAGGAATAAAACACTTCCAGTGCTTCTGTTTTGAGGAGCAAAGACTTAATCCGGGTGAGGAGGTAAGTTTGCAGTCCAATCTCAATCATGCGTACCTTCGTAACAATGAGTGAAAATTCGTACCCAAAACAGGTGGATTTGCCGGTGTTCTTCTACCTCGATCCAGCATTCGATGAGGACCCATACTTAATGCGAACCAACAGGCTCATTCTACACTACACTTTTTTTGAGGCTAAGAAAGAGAAGATGATGGTGCCTGGCATCTCAAAACCCATTTTGGAGGACGTGACCTAATTTTTTTTTGTGTAGATAAGACTACAAAATCCGCCTTATTCATGTATTTTAAATTATACATTCAAATTTTTCACTGAAGTCTTTTATGTTATTATTATTGTTCCGGAGATATAGAATGTACCTTTGCCATTGCTCTATTTGGTTTTCATTGGAGGGAAAGGAGGGTGGGTGGGAAGCGCCTAAAGTTTTCTCCGTCCAAAACAGTTTAAAAAATAACTTGATAATACATCCTGTCCTTGTTTTTTTTTCATTAGTGTCAATCAAACTCGCATGGACTGCTTCTTCCTCGGACACTGCCACGTGAGCCTACTTCTACTCGCCTCTGCCCCAGTCTCTTCCTATCGTGATTTACACTATCTGTCACTTAATGCTACTGTCAAATAAATAAGTAGCCATTTTGAAAGGGTTTGATAAAATGGACGATATACGGAAGATCATGTGTTGCCTGTGCATAAATTTTGCGGTGATGAGTGTGATATTGCGAGATTGGAGACGTCACATTTGAGCCTTTTCTTCAATTTGGAGAAACCACTTCACTTTTATTGACCATTCAATGTGAATGACTATGCTTGTATTCCACTGAATGAACCCGCTGAATCTTGCAAAGCAACCAGTTCTATAGTTAACAGTGCTTTGATGATTGTACTAATCAAATGAGGCTGAGGTTCATCTCTTGTAGTGATAGACGGGGCAGGTTGGGGTATTTTAGAAGTGACGGTTCTGCGCCATGTCATCATATCGCCTTTTGTGATGTCAACCAACTGCTAAGATCCAGAGTAATTCTTTATCAGCTGACTGCAAAGGGGGGACGAATATAATGGATTGACAGCACTAATTCTTTTTGCATAATAGTAGTTACTTCCCTTCACATAGAGTATGAGAAGCGGTTTCTTTGTAAAAAGTCACGTGTTCGGTGGTTAAATCTCATGCATTGCTCCAGTTGCATTCCTACTTGTCTGGATTGGCAGCGTCTGGAGCGGATTTTGTCGCTACGGCGCATGCGTCAGCACTTAAAGTGCCTTCCAAATCTCAACATAAGGCATGCGTTTTGCGACTCCTGTGGGGTAACTTGAGTCCGACAAAAAGAAGTCGATCCTCAAACCTCAGGGTTGTCAAGACTAGCGTGCCACATGAAAGAACGGCATTATTGTACGACGAGACAGTTGTTATCTTTCAGTGCGAAACAACGAAGTATTTCGGCGGAGCATATCAAGAATTCAACTCCGTGGTTAACATTTTGACACTTCAAGATGTTCTCTACAGTGCAAGCCCATGTGAGATACGTTTTTTCTTCATAATTGCAGTACTCTACTAACTGACCGCGGGCTTTGTTGAATTAAGTATGAATCAACAACGACAACAATAGCCAGCAAAAGCATG